ATTATGGATCTCTCACGTTTCATTTCATTGTCCTTCGTTCATGTGTATCAGGAAGCCAATGTTGTGGCTGACTCTCTTGCGAAGAACGGCATTTGTCATGTGGCATTGGTGGTTTCTAACGATGTAATCTCTTAATTTTCTTGTATTTTTGTTGATTTTATAATTATATTTCTGAACTTCTCTCAAAAAAAAAAAAAGGATGCCACCTTATATGTTTCACTCCATTTGGCAGCCAATTGATGAAAGAAAAACTCCTATATCTAATCACATGAGGGATAAAATATCTGGCTCCTGTAGCATTGAAAATACATACTTGGATAGTTTATATTGATGCCTTATATAAGGATAAATATTACATAAAGGTGAGGCTCTAAACAATCAAATTAAGGTGCACCGCAAAAATTCACTATAACGTATTGTTTTAATACCTAAAAATCCTCAAATCAATTACCTCGACTTCTCAAGATGTATAAACATGAGAAAGAAAAGGATTTCTAGTCTTGAAAATAGTGCATCTAGTAATGCATTTTTTAGAATGTCAAATTTCAAGATTTTCAAGTTTCATAAGAGACTGGGAGGGTAAAATTATATTCACTTATGTGGGTCCTCTTGGTGAAAATATAACAAATTACGTGGAGTTCTTTGCACTTCTTCAGGGTCTTGAGCTTTTCTGCACTAAAAATATTGGCACCAATTGTATTGTTGAAGAGGATTCTTTGAATGTTATCAATTGGTGCAATCGGGAAAAGAAGGTTTCGTGGGAGTTAAGATCATTCTTGTTTCAAATTTTGGATCTCTCACATTCCATTTCATTGTCTTTCGTTCATGTGTATTGGGAAGTCAATGTTGTGGCAGTCTATCTCGCGAAGAACGACATATCTCATGTGGCACTGTGGTTTCTGACGATGTAATCTCTTAATTTTTTTGTATTTCTGTTGATTTTATAATAATATTTCTGATATTTTAAAAACTTACCAAGAAGAAAAAACAAAGCATTCGGTATGTTGGAGTGTCTTTTTAAGTTACACTACAACATTAATTCCTTGCATACTATTTTTTCTCTAATATCTGAGGGCCAATTTTATTAGAAAAAGCAAATTTTATTAGAAAAATGACCGAATATTAACGAAAAGAAAAGACGACGGAACATTGCACCCTCAGCCATGTGATGAGGAAAATAATAATACACGGCCGCGTAAAACAGGGGTCTCTCTCTCCACTCCACGAACCTTCCTCATCATCCCTTTGTCAGCAGAACCAGCAAGAAAGGACCGCACGTGGGTCCTACTCCCCATCTCTCCCCTCTTTTAGTGGGTCCTACGTTCTCTCTTTCTCTCTCTAGACTCCATCTTCCTCTCTTTCTCTCTCTAGACTCTGGACCTCACCCTCTCTCTGTCTATAACTGGCCATTTACCTGTCTGTCCGCGTAGGTCACATCCCACTATCTCTCTCCTTTGTGGGTCACTGTCCACTTTCTCTCTCTAACATCATCAGTCAGTGCGCCTCTCTCTCTCTTCATTTATCCACTAATTAGTGCCGCAGTGAAAAGAGACCGGGATCAATCATGAACTAGCGAACTTTAAGGCCTCGGCCTTACCAAACAAAAAGTTACGCCGCACCTCAAATTGAGATTGAAAGTGCTGTGGAGATTAGAAGAATCAAATCGATGGATTTGGACCTTGACAATTATAGGAAAGGTTTTTATACTTCCTCTTCATCGTAGAGGATCTATGCTTCTCTTACCATCCGATCGGCCAATTTTGATCAAGAGAGTTATTTATTATTTGATTTTAGATTTGACATTTGAAAGTATTTTATTTTTAATTTTTTTTATATAACTTGTATGAATATGAAATTTGATATGTGTCATCTTTTCACAAGGGCGCACCTATAAAAAATATTAAAAAGTAAGTTTTTGATAAAATATAATGACCAAAATATCCCTTGAAACTTTCAGGAGTATTTTGGTAAATTTTTTTTTATTGAAAATATTTGTTTTATATTTTTCACTAGTGGGAGTTTAATAGAGGATTGAATGTTCAAAACTTGGTTTCAAAATAGTTTATAGAAAAAATAATAATAATAATAATAATATAGAGTACATGACATTGTGATTGGGGCAATCTTAACCCTCCATTCAGAATGGACGGTTAGATGAGGGGGAGTATATAAGTTTTATGTTGTAGTGGAAACATAGAAGCTTGCCCGATAATTATTGATCTTGAAAGTAAATAATTTATGTCTATAAATATGTAATTTGTAACACATTAGTTGGGATTCCTCGAATTGTCTGGCACTTAGAGCATAGAAATCCAATAAATTTGGATCATTTATTTTTTTACGACTTCCGACATGGTTTTCAGCGGGGTGCAAAAGCAAGATGCGGGGAAAAGTGTTGAAAAATTAAAAAATACAAAAAATATTCCTCAAAAATAGAAAAAAATAAAAAATATAATGATTATAAAAAATTAGAAAAAATAAGTTTAAAGTAAAATATAACAATGCACATCTAAACAAGGATAAAAAAAGTAGTGAAGAATATATGATAGGGAATAGGGAAATGATCTAATGCAACGGTTGTATAGTAGTATAACGGCTGTATAGTAGTATAATGCAACCACATCTCTAGAAAACTATATTTTTGACATTTGTATGATCCCAAATTTTGTACACACATTCTCTTCATCCTCATAATCAATCCTAAGAAAAAAATATTCAATTTTCACTCTAAATATGGTAAAAAATAGTACCCATCCAACAATGAATCTCGACCATCCATTTGGTGAATTTCAAGATCTAGGCCTTAACAAATTCAAAATCACTTTTTATTTTTTAGTACTATTAATCTAATGATGATAATGCTATATAAAAATTTTGCAAATAAAAAAATCCTTCTACGGCTTATATCCAACCATCTCAATAAAATAGACGGCTTATATTAATTGGGCTAGAATGAAACCTTTCTAGAGAATTTTTTCCAAAACAAAATAAATTATGATCGTTCTTCGGAATGAAAAGAGTGTACATTTAAAAATTCGTGTCAAACAAATGTCTCTAACATAGTTTTTGAAGATGGTTGCATTATACTACTATACAACCGTTGCATGAAATCATTCCCCCAGAGAATATAATCTAAAATAAAGAAAAATATAAAAAAATTATTCATGGTCAAAACACTTTCCAATATTTATCAAAATGATAGAAAATATAATAAAACAAATTATAAATTGTTATTTGGATGTTTTAATTTTTTTGAAATTTTTTTAAGATCTCCTAGTTGAACTACCCAACTTGGCGTGAGTCGTAGTTTCCCAATCCAGAGTTGCCTTGGCGTAATTTTTGTAGATTGGTCTCAAGTAGGGCTGGCAAAGGGCTGGGCCCTAGCCTCATCCTAGGCCCTATCAGGCCAGCTTTGGGACTATCAGCCCTGATGGGGTTAAAGAAGTCATAGCCCTAACCCTATGAGGATTGGGCCGGGCTAAAAAAAAAAAAAAGGAGGGCCTGGCCGAACCTTACCGGCCCGACCATGGCCCGGCCTTACCCTTAGGGGCATAGTTGCCGGCCCTCCCTTGGCCATCAATCAAGGTAGTTAAAATGGCAATGTGGCAGAATTTAGTATTAGGAAAATGAAAAGAGAGTATAGAAAAGTCTTTCATTTTCCTTCTTCGGACTTGAATCCGTGTCTTTTGAATGACCGAGGCCCCGTGACAATCTCTATCGTTCAATTTAATTGTGCCCCTGATTATATATTTAATATCCATACCATCCATGGTCACTTATTTTTGTTTTGTTATCTGAAATCGCGGGCGTTGAAGATTTAATTATGGAGAAACAATTGTCGGCAGCCGTCATCTTGCCCACTCAATTTATTTACTCTTTAACTCTCCCTCTAAGTTTCTGTTATCCCTCATCGTATTTTTTTTTGGAACGATTACCTGTGATTTCCATATCTCTCTCCTTTTTCGCACTCTATTGTGATTTTGCCTATTTAGTTTTCTTTTTATGTCTCTTTCATTTTTCATAAACTTTGTCTCAAATATTCTTTGACATCCCATAGTTTTCTTCCACTATGCATACATAAAATCAGGGTCGCAACAAGCCGGGTCAGGTTAAAAATAAATGAATAAATAATTCTTTTAAATACAAAATGATCTATTTAAGGGTAGAAATTACAGAGAAAGTTGGCCAACTTTTTATTTTCAAAATTTCCCCTCGACCCAAGAACATCATTGGACCGATGTTTTTTTTTTGGTTTTTTCGTTAGTAGGGTACTGCTCTACTAACGAAAAAATAAAAAATTTGGCCCGAGGATTCCATGCTCAGATCGAGGGGCAATTTTGAAACATAAAAAAGTGATTGACCAACCTTTTTTGTAATTTCTGTCTATAAGCAGGACATTTTATATTTTAGAAAAAAAATTAGAGTACTTAAGTAAATCTAACAAAAAAAAAAAAAGATTTATGCATGGACCTTAAAATTTGTCTGTTATTAGTAAGGCACTGCCTTACTAATGAAAATTTAAAAACAAAAAAAAATTGGACCGAGTTGAAGAAAAAATAATAATAATAATAATTAACTTACCTTTGTAATTTCTACCCATAAACATCGCATTTTGTATTTTAGAAAAAAATTTAGAGTCCATAAGTAAATCTAATAAAATAAAATAAAATAGAAGGTCGGGTGGGCCGAATTTGTGAGCCTTCTTAGAGCCATCGCCAGCTCTAACACCCAATTCCAAAGAGGACGAGTTGGTCGCTTAAATTTCTCCTCAAATCTTTCTATATTTTGAGAAAATCGCTCCCCTCTCTAAAACATAAACCAGTAATAATTGGTTTTGACAGGAACTGTGAAAGGAGAGAGCCCTCTTTTCCCATCACTCGTCCTTATTCTCGGGTCCACAAAGCTCACATCCTCCAATCTCTTACCGATCCCACAACTGTAACTAGAGAGAGATTGTGTGCCCACAACGCGGGGTCAATCAATTCCAGTAGTTTTAGAGAGAGAAAGAGGGAAAAAGCAAAGCGAACACGAGGTAATCCTCTCTCTCATGCCAGCCCAGCAACTTTCTCTGTCTAAACAGTAATCCTCTGTTATATATCCTTCCACATCCCTGCAATGCACCCAGCATCGTCTGTTATATATCCTTCCACATCCCTGCAATGCACCCAGCATCGTAGAGAGAGAAAGAGAGTTGTTAGAGAGAGAAAGAGAGTGTTAGGGAGAGCAAGGATCAATGGCGATGGCTGATGGGAAGGGGAAGCTAGAGAGATACAACTCGTATATTAGAAAGATGAACAGCAGCAAGGCGCTTGCTGCCTCATCGAAGCTGCTATTTAGAGCTTCGATTTTGATCGCACTCTTCCTTGTGTTCTTCCTCACTCTAACTTCCTATCCGACAGAGGTGAGGAGAAGGCTTTCCTCCACCTCTTCTTTTGGGGCCGCCTCTGCTCGATGGGGCGGTCCGTTGTGGGAGAAGCAGGTGCGCCATTCCTCGACTCCTCGGCGCCCAAATGGGTTCTCAGTTTTGGTTACAGGGGCTGCTGGTTTTGTTGGATCTCACTCTTCTCTCGCTCTAAAAAAGAGAGGGGATGGGGTTCTTGGGCTCGATAACTTCAATGACTACTACGGTTAGTCCCTCTCTCTCTCTCTCTAAAAATCCCTACACACATTAGCTACTCTCTCTCTCTAAAGATCTCTACACACAGTAACTTCTCTCTGTACATATTTGAATTTCTCCGATTATTGTCTTAATTCACAAGTTCAATTGTCTCTGTCTCTCCGAATCAGAAATTTATCAAATTCTCTCTCTAAATTCTAAACTCAAATTCCACCATTTCTATCTCTAAATTCTGAGCTCAAATTCCGCCATACCAAACACTAAAAAGAATGTTAATCTGAACTGATCCCTTCATAGATCCGAGCTTGAAGCGCGCCCGTCAAGCATTGTTAGCAAAGCAGTCGATCTTCATTGTGGACGGCGACATCAACAACGCCTACCTCCTCGCAAAGCTCTTCGACGTCGTGCCCTTCTCTCACGTCCTCCACCTCGCGGCCCAGGCTGGTGTTCGCTATGCCCTCCAGAATCCCTCGTCGTACGTACACTCCAATGTCGCCGGCCTCGTCTCTCTCTTTGAGGCCTCACGCCAAGCCTCTCCTCAGCCTGCCATCGTTTGGGCCTCCTCGTCTTCGGTCTATGGGCTCAATGAGAAGGCACCGTTCTCTGAAGTTGATCGGACCGACAGGCCGGCGAGTCTGTACGCGGCGACAAAGAAGTCGGGGGAGGCCATCGCCCACGCCTATAATCATATTTATGGCCTCTCTCTCACTGCGTTGCGCTTCTTCACGGTGTATGGGCCTTGGGGGAGGCCCGACATGGCCTATTTCTCCTTTACCAAGGATATATTGCAGGTATGCTTTTGAGTTCTTTACCGAGTGTTATTACTGATGCATATAATGGTAGAGCCCGTCAGTTCTTATGTTATCTAATTGTCGTAACGCTGGGTAGTTATGTAACAGGTATGACATGAAAGATGCCATCCATGTCAATACTTAGCGTTAGCCGGAGTTTCTTTGTAAAATAACGGCCGTTCGTTTTAATCAAACAACGTATTTTTATGTAAAGGGGGCATGCGGTTCTTGATGTTTATTTCCGCAAAAAAAAAAAAAAAAACGGCCCTTTCTTGTGAAACCCAATTTTCTTTTATTTCCGTTTTAATACAATTTTTGTTATTTTCTCTGATTTCCTTTTCTTTTTCCTTCATTTCAAATTGAGTGAAAAAGTGCACCAAAAATGGTTAGAGGCATATTTTCAAAAGGATCTATTAACCCAATTTCTCCTATTTTCACCTCCTTTGCATCATACTTATTCCAGTTTTGCCAAGTATTCATCTCCCTTCATAGAAGCCGTTATATAACGGTAATTACATCAACAATGTTTCCTGACCCGGTTGAGATCTACTGTAGGGCAAGGCCATCACCATCTTCGAGCGAGCCGACGGGCAGGATGTGGCCCGCGACTTCACGTACATTGATGATATAGTCCGCGGATGCATCGGCGCCCTCGACACCGCCCAGCGCAGCACTGGCAGCGGTGGCCGCAAGCGAGGCCCCGCCCAGCTCCGTGTTTACAATCTCGGCAACACATCCCCTGTCACAGTGAAGGGATTGGTGGGCATTTTGGAGGGACTCTTGGGGTTGACGGCCAAGAAAAATGTAGTGAGGATGCCCGGAAACGGCGACGTGCCGTTCACGCACGCGAATGTCAGCTCATCGGTGAGGGATTTCGGGTATAGACCCACCACTGATTTGGCCACAGGACTGAGGAAGTTTGTGAAGTGGTATGTCAATTACTATGGCATTAAGATCACCAAGGGAGATGCTGCCTCCTCTTCTTCTTCTTCTAGGTATAGTAGCTGAGAAATCTATCTCCTCTCTTTCTTACTGGGTCTTTTCCATATTTGTGCAGCTGAGAAATCTATCTCCTCTCTCTCTCTTTCCTCCATTTTTTTGCCTTCCACTTCTATAATTTTGGTTCTCCTCTTCGTACAGCTGAAAGACCCCTCTCTCTCTCTATAACCCAGTTGGGTTTTCCCTTTTCTCTCTCTCTTCTCCACCCATTTGGTCCAACACTAGAGAAATGTTTCTCTCTCTCATGACCTCATCTTCGCTTTTATCCTACCACGGTTGAGAAATCAATCTCTCTCTCTCTCTCTCTCTCTCATTGGTTACAGTTGATTAGTCTTTCTGATAATTGGTGCAAAGTTCCCCCTCTCTATCCTTCAATTGGGTCCTTTTGTTCTTGGGGTTGTTTATTATTTTGATTGTTAAATGTTCTTGGTTGTTCAAAGTTCAGAGTAGTGCCATAAAAATCTGTGGATAAAAAGAAGCAGATAGAAAGAAAATGTAAAAATGCAGGCGGCCTAGTCCTCACAGAATGCGTGTGGAGCCGCTCTCCTCCATAAGTTGTAAAAGAGGGAAAGCCCGGTTGATTGTCATATGATACATAAATTAAATCATAAAAGAGGCAAATCCTTTCTCTATTTCTCTCTCTCCTTTGGTCTCCCTTCTCTCTTGTTTGATTCCTTATATACATGCATGTGATTTACTTAAATTATCCCATTGTGTACGATTACTCTAGTTAAATTAATGTTATTCTTTCCCTATTTGGACCTGTTAGTATTTTTTTTTTGAAAAATGTTATTACTTTTTTTAAAGGTGCCCACTTGATACTATACGAATACGCGCTTCAAAAGTTTGCCGAAAGATGTAGTTCTAGTGTTCTAAGACGTACAATGACTTGAAAAATCTATGTTCAACCCCAATTATGAAATTTAAAAATTCAAAAATACTGGAAATCGATTAGATCTATAAACACTTAAAAATCTTAAAAATAGACAGTCCAAATAATTTGTTACAAGATGTACCTTTTATAGGACTAGAATTTTTTTCTTCTTCTTTATATCCATAAATCTCAAGGTAGAGATGATCAATTTGAAGGTTTTCCAAACTCTTGTCTTCTAAAATTTTGTATTTTAGAATAACATTTTTTCAAACCATAGTCTTTGAAAAAATTGTTAAGGTAGAGAGAAACAACAATGAATTTTAGTCTAATGTTGAGGAATGAAGCCATGCTTAAAATATGACTATTCTCGTGTTGTTCTTTAAACCAAGGGAGAGGAGTATCACTGCCCTAGCTCGAAGCCCCGCACTTCCAGTCGTGTGGCACTTGCTCCTTGGTGACATGAGGCTCATGTAGAGCACACGAAGCATGTGACTAATACATATTTGCACATTGCAATAGGGCTCTTACCCTATGCACATGTGCAAGTCGGTTTCCCAACTCGCTTCACATTTGTTGCGAGCAGTGTTTTAAAAAACGTCGAGTCGAACCGGGCGAGTCCGGTTCGACTCGGAAATTATGAAAAGGGGACTAGATCGCCTAAAAAATCGGAAATCGTCCGGTTCTAGAGAGAACCGGACGATTCTGTACAGTGAATCGCCGATTCATTGTACGGAATTGGCGAGTCCCGTACGGATTTTTTTTTTTTTTTTATTTTTTTTTATTTTTATTTTTTTTGTAATACTTGATTGATTTTTTAGTAATCCATGATCGAATTGTTTTTGTTTTTTTGTAATCCATGATCGAATTTTTTGGTTTTTGTAACCCATAATAGAATTTTTTGTAATCCATGATCGAAATGTTTGTTTTCTTTTCTTGTAATCTATGATCGATTTTTTTGTTTTTTTTTTTTTTTTGTTAACCCTATGATAGAATTTTTGTTAATCCATGATCGAATGTTTTGTAATACATGATCGAAATTGTTTTGTTTTTTTTTTGTTAATCCATGATCGAAATTGTTTTTGTTTTTTTTTAGTTAA